GGTATTGGGGAGGATAGGAGCCGCAGAGAGCGCCCCCTGGCATCGGGGCACTAAAATGGGCAGCCTCCCACTTGAGTGACATCTATAAACGAATCAATTAACACCAAGGCATGGTGGGCAAGAAGGCGGGTGGTTGGCCCAAGGACAGGTGGGCGGGCCACGGAGATCAGCCCTGAGGAGGCCCCCTGTCACAGGCCCAATTCTTTTTTTGTTTGTTTGTTTTCCAGCAGAGCCTGCCTACCTCTCCCATGGCTGGGGGGCAAGCTGCTGGCAGGCCAAGCAGCTCCTGGGCTGCGGGGGGCCCCAGTATTTCCCTCCACAGCAGCACCCTCCAGGCAGGCTGCTAGTGGGCTGGGTGCTGCCCCAGCTCAGAGGCAGCACCTGGCCAAATCCAATTGTTCCCCAAGCCCACCCACTGGAAGCCTGCCAGCCCAGGGAGCCCTGGGGGGGTGCCGCCACTGCAGCAGGATGGACTGGGCCCCCCCACAGCTTCGGGGGCTGCTCAGCCCACCAGCAAGCAGGCTCCGTCTCCAACAAAAAAATAATGGATCGGGCCCCTCACCGTAATGTGACAGAAACATTAAAACGGTGGGTTTCAGTTAACAACCCACTGTTTCAATGTAGGGAGTATAGAATAAAACCCTGAGGACTAACCCCCTATCAGACTTACAAGCACCCCTAGAGATCCCGTAAGAGACAGCCACCTCTGGGAGCCATGTGACATCTCTTTATGAGCACATAACAACTGCATACAAGATTTGGGGGAGTAGAGAGTGAAGAATTAAATAAGAAATGCAAGGGAAATTTGTAGGGAGCTAAAAAAAATTGCTTAGACTGAAATGTAACCAATACCCAAGGGTTAATGTTTTAAGCCTCATGTAAAACACAGAACAGATTGGCCACCTGTCCCAATTTTTGCCTAGGTAGACAGGACTGGGAGGGGACCTGGCAGAGTTGAATGCCAAGGAGACCAGTGCAAAGCTGGAGCATTCCTAGAGTATTTTCCTTTAAAGAACTTCTCTCTGGCGATGGCAGAGATCCTCCCAGGGTGACAGGAAAACAAGAGTCATACCCACCCAATGGGATGATGGAAATCTTTACATTGAGCAGTTGGTGAAACCATAAACCTGCCAAAGTCAAGTTCGAGTAGCAAGAAACCAGAGCTGAAAGAGCCACTTTATTACAGTGCTTGCCAGTAGCCAGAATTACAGCAGAGGCTGCACTCTGTACAGACTGGGCGTGCCTCTTTCTAACGCAGAGAGCAGCTCAAAGGCCAAAGGCTGCCTGAGCCTGACTTCCTGCTGCTTGTGTGAGAGCGGCCCTGCCCAGCCATGCAAGAGAGAGGCCTGCACACATCACCCTGCTGCAAAGCAATCCCAAGCTTTCCTTCTGCAGGAACCACCATATCCAGAGTCAGGGCCTTCAGTTGGGGACGGTGAAATGTGGTTCTGGCCCATTTCACCAGTGACACTGGCTCCTCTCCCAGAGACCTCAAGGGAGGCAGATCAGTACTGTCTCATGTGAATTTGAATCCGTTAACAACCATGAATGTTTGGCCTATGGCAGACGGGAAACAACTGGCTGTTTAATATAGTGTATCATTGAAGTTTAAGGCAGAGTAAGCATTTCCTAGCCAAACCTTGGAGGAATGTGGCCTGCAGGAAGGTGAGAAGGGAGCAGTAACCAGGCCTCACGGACATCCTTCTGGTGGGGTAGAAATGCCAAAGGTGTGATCACTATGTGATTCACTGCCCCTGCCTTGCCTGCAGCCTCCCCATAATCTCAGGCTTGCTGTAGGCACAATGGGCACAGATTCTTGGTGATATCAATGCACCCTACTCCCATGCAACCAAATGGGAGTTAGGTGCTTAAAAACTTTTGGAAGATCGGGGTCAGCGGGCCCACTAGCATAGCAGGTGCACTCAGGAAGAGGTAGATGACAGGTCTGATGGAGGACAGAAGCAGGAGAGTGGAATGAATAGGGATCTGCAGTGAGAGTCAGGACAGCTGGGTTCTCTCCCTAGCTCTTCCACTGCCCTTCTGTGTGACCTTGAGCAGAGCCCTTTCTCCTCCCACCCTTTTGTCTGTCTTGCCTACTTAGACTATTAGAGACTGTCTGTGCAGCTCCTAGCACTATAGGGCCCTCATCTGTTTTGTGACTTCTAGGCACTAATGCAATCTAAAACATAGTAGCTGCGGGCAGCCTCAGGAACCCTGCTCCCAGAGCATGAAAGCTGGTAGCCAGGGCTGTGCACAGGGCCTAAGCTGGGTACATACTTGCCATTCCAAGAGACTTTGCCGAGGCAGTTTTCTGCCTTGTGAGGACCCTATGATAGGATGGCCGGATTGGAAGCCATCCAGTCGGAGGCTGTCTCACAAACTGAATGAGACAATCATGTGTAAGGGAGAACTGGCCCTGTTAAGAAACCCAGCACCTTGAGATGCAGCTAGTTCAAGAATTTGTGACCCAGTGAGAGCCACTTCCCTTGAGAAGCTCCAGGAAGGAACTTGGGTGAAATTGCAGAGTAAATCCTGTTAGGAAGTGTGAAGCCAGAGAGGTTGTTAGTGCCCAGCCATAGGAGGTCACACAGGGGAACGAACTCTCGTTCGTCAGCTTCACAGCCCTTTAGAAACATTCAGGCCCCAGAGAGCTGGGTCAGGATCACCACATCCTATTACAGATTGGAAAACTGAGTCCTGAGACACCCACCGCAGAATGCTTCTGCCTCATCACACAATCGGTTCTGTGTCAGCGAGCACCTGGCTCTGCAGCTTGTGCTGAGAAGCCTCAATTAAAAACAGCTGTGCTCCAGAGTCAGGGTGACACTGAGGCTGTGAAAACACAGAGAAGCTGCATGTTTCTCCCTTTATAGACAACATGCTGTTGTTTGGCTGCGGCTGATTGAAGGGGACTGAACCTGCCAGTCCTTGCTTGTGTGACTAACCCCACTAAAGGCGGTGGGGCTACTCTTGTGAGTCAGGGCGCAAGGATCAGGCTCCAGCTGACTGTAAAAACAGCTCTCTGGTTGCTCTCCCCACCTTTCTGGGGATCCATGTCGAGTTCACGGCAGGCTAATGCCTTGGCCTTCTTCTCCAGATGCAGGAAGGCACCACGGCAGAGATCACTCCTGACATCCTGAGAAGCGAGGACGAGGACTCCTCTCCAGAAGACGTGGTTTATTCCATCATGTCCCCAACCAATGGGAAAGTTGTGCTGAAATCATCTCCTAGCAATGGGATTCTGCAGTTCACTCAGGCTCAAATAAATAGCGGGGTCGTCCAGTTTGTGCACAATGGTACGGGACACTCCCCCAAAGGTGGGAGACAGCCTGGCCTGGTTCCTAGTGACCCTGGGAAACCTGTCTGTGCCTCTATCTGGGGAGGCTAGCATGAGCAGGAAGTCACCCCAGTCCACCAAACACCCCACACATCAGTGCCCAGCCCCTAAACCCTGGAGCCATCCCACCCTGGGGGCATCATCAAGTCACTGGGCAGGAGCTGCTCTTACTTACTCCTGTGGAGACCCAGGGAAACCCTCAGCCTCAGTGCGGTCACTCCAGATTGACCCTGGTGCAAGGGGGAGCAGAGCTCAGCCTGGGGTGTTCAGAGCTGGCTTCCTCCTGTCCTGTAATCACCCCAGGGCTGGCCAGGAAGGGCTTTTGCCCACCGCTAGCTTACTTTGTTATGTACAGACCCTGGGTAGTGTGTTCAACAGGACGCTGCTTACAGTAGAGTACAGGTCCTATGTCTCTTCATGCAAAAGGCCCTAGGGAAACCACCAGCCCTTGCAGTCCCCGCCCCAACTCCCCAGTTGTCCTATTTTGTTATTTTGAGGAACCTCAGGGTTGGGTTGGTCTGTGCACTATAACTGACAGTCACAGATGTAGAAGTCACAGCCCATGGCACAGAGAATTGCACTTTATGATGGGCACTAGCCCTGGCCCGGTCTGGGCTGGGAGGTGCACTCTCTGTGGTCATGCAGACCTCAGCTTAGCTGGTACATACTCCCCCAAGTACATAGTTCACCATAAGACCTGGGATCACTTTGGGACATTCAGGCCTGCATAAGGTGTCTCAATATTTGCCCATGCTGGGGCTAGAGAAGGAATTATCCTTCTTGTCCAGCGCTCCCTGAGCTTTGCTGGGTCACCCCACCAGGATACCCTGTAGTGCCACCCATCCTGTGGTATAAGAGCACCTACCATATATTATTCACCCCTGAAATCATTGCTGTACTTTCTGCAGGGTCTCTTGACGGTGGGTTCTCCTTTGATTTGTCTGATGGAAAGAATGTATCACCTCGGCACTTCTTCAGCGTGAGTGCCCACCAGGAGCTGGTCATCAGCCTGGTAAATAAACAGGATCTCACCGTGTGTCCAGGTGAGTCACACATAGGGGAGCTAGGGGCAGTGCCGTCTGAGGCTGTTGACAAGAGGAGACTGTGGGGAGGGGGACCTTGAGAATTCACCCAATTACCAACATCCAAAGGCTTAAATGACTATTGGCCTAGGCTGGCTTGTGGAAGGAGAGGCTGAAAATCAACTGCATTAGAGAGAAAAGTGGGAATAGTGTATATCAGGCTGAGATGAGACAGCAACCTCTTAACCCCTTCATTGTGGGCAGCAATGAAAGGAGATTGGAAGTTGATTCAAAATGAGATAAATGCTTCAACATTCTCACGTTGGACCATTCTCCTGAGGATAGTCTCAACTGGCTTCTACTGCACCATTACAGCCAGCAGCCTTCACTTATCCAAGCTAGTATTCTGGAATTTATTGACACAGAGAATTGGGGAGACTGCAAAAGAGTCGATTTCTGGGGAAGACAGTAAGAGTGGGGTGACCTGGCACCATAAAATTGGATTCTTCTACCCAAAAATGGAGGTGGTACTTTACCTCCTATTGTGTGGAATTACCAACATTCCAGGGATACTTTCCAGCACAGATGCATGTGCTGTGGCTGGGAGCTGAACCCATAGGTGGAAGAATAGGAATGAAAGGGAGAGCAGAGTAGCTAGATTGGTGCAGATAGACCAAAGTTGGTGCAGATAGTGCAGACCCAGATTGGTGCAGATAGACCAAACACCAATGTACCTATAAACCCAGATGGCCTGTCAGACACATCCTTCTGTAAAGGCAATGGGGAGAGGGAAGCAAACACTGATTGGCTGCCATGCCTGTACTGTGAATAAATCCGCTATATATTATTTGTTTTAAAGGGACCCTTCAGCCAATCACTAGCCAGAATCTGAAAGCCATGACCAACAGCAAAGCAGATGCCAGCTCCTTATTTTACAGCATACAGCAGCCCCCGCAACTGGGCAGGCTGGTGAATTCCCAGCTGGGTAGTGCCATGGGGGATGTGAAGAACTTCACTCAGGCTGAGGTGAGTGCTTTTGTCATGTTCTCTGTGCTAGAGGAGGTGCCCTGGTTCATTGTTGAGGCTGCTGCCCCAAAAGGGAGGCTGTATTTTCCATGGCTCCCAGACCAACTGCATCCTTCATGAGGCAGTCTTTTGTAACCAGAGGTGAAATACCTGATGGCAAACACCTTGTTGCCAGAGCTTGTGCTGAAAACAAACAAAAGCTACTGTAGGTGACAGTGGGGGGCAGTGAGCTAGGAGGAAGCGGTTTGGGGCCATTTCCTCTGGTAGGGCTGAAGGCATCAGGTAAAGCATCAACACAATGGACTCCCTGGCTGGCTGCTTCAGCAAAGAGGCTGAGAACTGAGCAGACTGTCAAGACTGAGTGACCTTTCCAGCCTGACAAAGCATTTGACGGGCCAAAGCTAAACAGGATTATCAGGCTCTGTTCCAGGAGCCTATCTTCCTGCTGCCACTGCGTATTGAGGTAAGCAGAGGACATGTGTCTTCCTGGAGGTCAAACTGTCAGCTCCCACTGGTGCTGCATCAGCTGCACATTATCGGATTAGCACTGGAACCTGATCCCCGGCAGGTGGAGGTCAGCCAAGCTCCGGCACAGCCAACAGAACTGTCTTGACTTGCACTGGCTGAAAAGCGGGGCCTTCAGTTTCACAAGCAGGGGCTCTCGTATAGGATTCCTGCTCCATAATCCTAACAGAACAATGGCATCTCTATCCACCAGGTGCCATGTGGCTGTACAAACCTTTTTCTTGGCTTCCTCTGTGATGCCCTAGGGTATGAAACACCCTCTATCTGATACAGAAAGCTTGTAGCCCTGGTACCTCATTAAGGGCCACAGGAGCTGGAGCAGCCAGGCCTGTTACATTAGCAGACCTAGGTTGGAAGGGGTCTGGTGATTCCTGTAAAGGGTTCTTCCCTGGGAGGGCCTCCTGGGAGAAGGGAGGGAATGGCAGGGGGAAGAGAGCTCTTCATTGGTTAGGAAATAGTTATTTTGGAGTTGCTGTACACCTGGAGAATGAACCTGGGCCCTGAAAGGCAGCATGTCAGTCTTTCCTAGGCCAGAGTGGTGGGGATAGGCCAGCTATGCATGCATCTGCCTATAAGAGCAACTGGATGGTTACGAGTTAGGCAAGAGTGGGAAAGCCTAACAGCTTTACTTCACTTTACTGGACTAGTCCATTCCCTTGTAGAGAAAGCTATACGTTGAGGCCTGCTCATAGAAAACACTAACCTGTGACATGCCTTCCTATCCAAAGAGGGACAGAGAGGATAGGGACAGTTTGTTTTTCAGAATCTGTATTACATTGTAGGTTGTCCTTCCGTTTTTCTTGTATTGCCTGGCTACAGCTCCTCCCTCATGTACCATAGACAAGCTATAGGCAAGGCTTGCAAAATGTTACTGTAATTACACTAGCAGAGTCCTAGAGAAATCATTCTAAGAACACATAAAAAGGGAGTTTATCACATTACAGAATTCAAGAGGTTGGCCTGGATGTTCCCTGGAAAGGCACCAGCACACCCCTCTAGAAATCTCCCATGAAGGACTGATTCCTGGGTAGTTTCTAACCTGGCAATAGCTGCACTCCCTCATGATTTCCATTTGGCCACTGAGGCAGCCTAGTTTAGTAGGTTATAGCAGGAAGCCAGGAGCACTGGATTCTACTGGCTCAGCCCCTGACCTGCTGCGTGATCTGGGGCAAGTCACTTCTGCCCTGTGCCTCAGTTTCCCTATCGGTACTATGGGAACGGTGGTCCTCCCAGTATGTAGTGTTCTTAAACCCTTGGCAGAAAGGTGCTAGAGCATTGTTGCCCTGCTGACTACAGTGCCCTGCTGACTTCCTGTCCACTGGTGCTGTATATACCCACCCAGATCTGAAACCTGCTGTCAGAAGAGAGGGAGCCTGCACACAGGAAAGAGCTACTCATTTCCCCAAGCTCAGCTGTGATTCAGTCCTCCCCAAAAACAGCTCCCACCACGTATGGTTTTCATTCTTGACTTTGGTTTCAAGTCCTGCCTCTTAAGATCGTCCCAAGGATCTGTAGCGCTGCAAGCACAGGTCTATCAGATAACACTGCCGGCCAATGAAATATTCACTGGGTTACCAAAGCAACACTTGTGGTTGCCATGGCTCCTTTGATATCACACTCCAGAAAGCCTGTGGTGGATGATGGTTCCACTGTCCTCAGCAGCATGTGAATAGGGAGAGAGGAGCACAGGAAATTCAGATCTCCACTCTATCAGCAGGGTTTCCTATTCGAATCTACCCCTGCTTCTGGAAATCTCTAGTTGCCTTCAGCAGACTGGGGCATACACATAAGCAAGCAGCCATGTTACAGAGGAGGCTGTAATCACCCTTGGTGTTTTATAGGGAGAGAGAAAAAAAAGAGCCTGGTATTTAAAATCAGGCACATATAGCAATGCCCGCATAAGTACAATTAGATGCACACATTGACCACAACTATGTGTACAAAGGTTTGTGGGGTCGATCTTTTTATGCACACAGTTTTAGGCACAAGTTAGAGGTGACTGTGTAATTCACTGTACATCCAAACTAGGCATGCATTTTGCGTATGCAAGTGTACCTAAGTCAGAAAACCTATCGCTAAAGGAACCATCTCCTTCTGATCTAAACCTCTTGAGTAGATAGCTGGAGCTTTCAAACTGCCTTTTTCTTATGCTAATAGAGAGCTCTACTCTCCACGAGAGCTCTGCTCTGCTCAGCCCTTTGGTTTCTCTACCCCAAGCTATATGAGCCATTTTTTGCACAGGGGAGCAAGGGGGCTCTGAGAGGCCTTGTCTTTCAGCATCTTCCACAATACCATTTATTATGAACAATAATATTACAGTGGTACCTAGAGACTCCATTTGTGGTGGGGGTCCTTTGTGCCAGGCACTGTACAAGCCCATGGTGAGAGGCCACAGCACTTTTTACTGTTTTAAATAAATGAGACAGGCAAGTGGTAGGAAGGAAAACAGATGTGAATGTAACTTGCCAAAAGCTACACAGCAGTTCTGTGGCTGAGTCACAAAGAGAACCCAGGTCTCATGATGCAAAGCCCAGTGCACCATCCATTAGGCCAGCTTCTTCCTCTGTGCCCCATCTCTGTCCTTGGACCCATATTGTTCAACATCTTCATTAATGATGTGGACACTGGAGTCAGAAGCAGACTGGCCAAATTCGCCGATGACACTAAACTTTGGGGCAAAGCATCCACACCAGAAGACAGGCGGGTGATCCAGGCTGACCTGGACAGGCTCAGCAAGTGGGCGGACGAGAATCTGATGGTGTTCAACGCCGATAAATGCAAGGTTCTCTACCTTGGGAAGAAAAACCCACAACATACTTATAGGCTCGGCAGTGCTACGCTGGCTAGCACTATGGAAGAAAGAGACTTGGGGGTCATCATTGACCACAAGATGAACATGAGCCTGCAATGTGATGCTGCGGCTAGTAAAGCGACCAAAACGCTGGCTTGCATCCATAGATGCTTCTCAAGCAAATCCCGGGACGTCATTCTCCCCTTGTACTCAGCCTTGGTGAGGCCGCAGCTGGAGTACTGAGTCCAGTTTTGGGCTCCACAATTCAAAAAGGATGTGGAGAAGCTTGAGAGAGTTCAGAGAAGAGCCACGCGCATGATCAGAGGTCAGGGAAGCAGACCCTACGATGACAGGCTGAGAGCCATGGGACTCTAGCCTGGAAAAGTGCAGGCTCAGGGGTGATCTGATGGCCACCTATAAGTTTATCAGGGGTGACCACCAGTATCTGGGGGAACATTTGTTCACCAGAGCGCCCCAAAGGATGACGACTAGGTCGAATGGTCATAAACTACTACAAGACCGTTTCAGGCTGGACATAAGGAAGAATTTCTTTACTGTCCGAGCCCCCAAAGTCTGGAACAGCCTGCCGCCGGAGGTGGTTCAAGCGCCTACATCGAACACCTTCAAGAGCAAACTGGATGCTTATCTTGCTGGGATCCTATGACCCCAGCTGACTTCCTGCCCTTTGGGCAGGGGGCTGGACTCGATGATCTTCCGAGGTCCTTTCCAGCCCTAATGTCTATGAAATCTATGAAATCTATTTTCTCAGTGGCAATGATGAGGTCTTACCACAGCTTTCCATGTTGTATCATGGCTTTGCTTATCATTAAGCCTCTTTGTTCTCTATGGGGCTTGTGTGTGTCCATCCAACCCAACCTTATTCAGCTTCTGTTTCTTATTCCCTGCATTCTGGTATATTAGTGACATATGCAACATCCTTTCATGGTTCTCTACTCTTTTAGAGGAGGACAAGAAGATCTGAGTCCTGCTTTGCTCAGGAGCTCTCTGCATTTCCATGTCATTTCATAGCCAGTTCTTTGACCTTCTGCTTGGCTCCTATTCATAGCCAGCCATCCTACCCTTTCTCAGCCCAGTGCAAAGTAAAGGCGGTCATCACTGCCTGCAGTAGCTGCCTAATAGGAGTGGTGCCTCTTTGCCTTGAACAGTTTTGGTGGTCTTACAGAACTGACTCTATCAGGATGTGGAATCAGGGACATGGGTCATGTGTTTTCATGCACTTCACTTCCCCCGAACATAGAATCATAGAAACATAGAATAGAAGGACCGGAAAGGACCTGTAAAATCATTGAGTCCAGTCCCCTGCTGTGGGCAAGAGGCAATTGGGTTCAAACCAACTCCACAAGATGTTTGTCCAGTCTCCTCTTGAACACCTCCAGGGATGGCGGTAGAAATAAGTATCATCAGGCAGTGTCCTTGCTTAAAAATACCCAGTTTGCCACAGTGAGCTCTGCCCAAGAAGCCCTGTCCCTCCATCTCCCTCCCACTCATGTACATGGCCCCTACATTTGTAGGAGAGAACCTCCTCAGTCCACATAGCTCAGTTTTGACTTGCTGTGTCATCAAGAGCCTCAAGCTGGGCCCCTCGGCACCCAGCTCTTCCTACTAAATAAAGAGGCTTGATTGTCCTTTCCTATTAAACCTGCAAAACACTGTTTGGCATGTCTGCTGGCTATAATGGAGTCTTAATGGTCTCAGGGTACCAGATCCTCCAAGTTAAATGTGTCTGACACTAAAAGGAGACTATGGTAGGGAGCATGACCCCATTGCTAAAGACAAATTGAGGAGTCAAGACATCAGGCTTCTACTCCCTGCTTTCTCCCACTGCCTTGCTGTGTGATGTAGGGCAAGGACTGTGCCTCAGTTTTGCTTAGGTTCCTGTATCACAACAATTGTGACAGCACCATGATTGGAGTGAAGAAAGATGAACAGTTCGCTTTCTGACTTAAATAGGTTTTATTTATTCTGTCTGACTTTGCTGCAATTAAAAGGTTGTTTGGTTTGTCTGTCTGCTTGTTTCAAACTAGGTGAATAGTGGAACAATCTTTTATCAGCATGAAATGCCCCAGCAGCCATTTTGGCTTACCCAGGATGCTCTTCACTTCCGAGTCTCTTCTCCTTCTATCGTAACAGAGCCATATATCCTCAGTGTGTCAATATCATTTGAAGCAAGCTGTCCCCAGAGGTCAACTCAGCTCTGGAGAAACAAAGGTAAAAGCCTGGAGGCAGAAGGGAATAATTTTGAGCTGGTTTCCATGAACTGAAAGGAGGGGTTATAGCCAAGGAGAAAGAGGGAGGGTGCAGATGATGAGTTACAGTAGGGGTGTCGAACGTTTTTGGCAGGCATGCCACAAATGACATGAGCAGGTTCTGTGCATGACATGCAGCAGACTGGGGAGGGGATAAGAAACACAGCAGCAGATTGAGCAGAAAGCAGAGCAGCAGATCGGGCAGGGAGAGGGGATTGAAGTGGCACTCATGGAGGGTGTGCAGCTAATTTGTGGCACAGCTGCCAACAGATTGCCCCCCCCGCAACTGAGTTACAGGATGCTGAGGACAAGACAGTTGTCCTGAATTTACACCCCACCCCCATAACTAAGAATCTTCAGAGCGACTACCCTGAAAATCAAAATGGAAATCCCAATGCAGGAAGGCAACCCCACTCAGGATGGCACTTTAAGCACAAGGAAGTTTGACCACGTGCTTTCCTGGATCAGGGGTTAACTAATGTGGAACCTAGTCTCTCACCATGGCAAGGATTCTCATGCCTCTCTGTTCTTGTCACTCATTCCTCCCTTTCCTGCCATTTCTTTCTTTCTTTCCTATCCTTCTATCTTTCTGTAGTCTTTCCTTTTGTCCTTCATCTCCTGCACTGCCATGTGATAGATCCCATCTCTTCCCCTTCCATCCCTGTTCTAGCTTTCCTTCTGACCTCTCTTCCCTACTTCCATAGTCTTTTTTCCCTCCCCTCTCTGTCATGCTGCCGTCTAGTCCATCAGTCTAGCTTTCTAGTTGTTCCTTCCCTCCTTTCTTCACCACCTTACTGTCTCTGGCTGCTCATGGCTGAGCACTGTTATCATCCAGACCATCTTAGGCCTGTGTTTTCTTTCCTTTTAGGTCTCATAGTTCGGAAAGCACAGCATGCAGAGATTAACACCTCAGTGCTGGATGCTTCCAACCTTTTGACAAAGGTTCCAGAGTCCAAAAGGACATCCTATGATGTTGTGTTCCTGGTTACTGAGTTACCCTCCCATGGTCACCTCTCTGTGGCTGATGTACCCATCAACAAAGAGCATCCTTATTTCCTGCAGTCTGATCTTGTTATGGGTGGTCTGAACTATGCTCACTATGAGGCTGGTGCCATAGAAGACCATTTCAGATTTAAGGCTTGGCTTCGGCCTCTGGCCATGGAGTCTATTCACCCTCCCCAGGAAGGAGGTGGGGTGTTCATTTCTGAAGCCTTCAATATAACTGTGAATCCTAATAATGAAAATCCACCTCAGCTGACTAAGCAAAGACATGTCCTGCAGGCCCACCAAGGCTCCTTAGTGATGCTGTCCCGAGATCACTTGGATGTAGTGGATCCTGACAGTTCTCCTGAAGAGATTGAGTACAAAATCCTCAAGAGGCCAGCCAGTGGCTTCCTGGCCAACATGCACAATAAGCAGGTGCCAATCAGCCAGTTCACCCAAGCAGAAGTCAATGCTGGCCACCTGGTCTTCATTGCCAATGGGAGCAGTTCTCTTGGATCCTTAGACTTGAGTATCTCTGATGGGCATAATCTACCCATATTCACTTCCCTGGAAGTAGAGGTTCTTCCTGTATTGACAACAGGGATGAGCCAGATACCTCTAGAAATACCTCAGGACCGGAACATTGCCTACCTGTCCAGAGATCACCTCCTGGGGGGCTCACAGCCAGGGGAACAAGATGTCCTTTACACAATCACCAGGAATCCCACATTTGGCCAGCTGAGGGTCAACCAAAAGCCAGCAAGGGACTTCTCACAGAAACAGGTGGACCAAGGGGAAGTGACTTTTATTTTCACAGATTTCACCTCCCCTGAGGATGAATTCCAGTTCCTTTCAAGATCCAAAGGAGGAAACATGTCAGGAGCAGTGAATGTGACAGTCAAGGCTTTGGTCAGAATGCAGCAGGGGATTCTGTGGCCAAGGGGGAAAACCATCCTGCTGGACACCAGTGTTCTTGACGCAAGCGAGCTGGCCAACAAGACAAAGAGCGTCCCAGTCTTTAAGATCCACAGAGCCCCCCAGGGCAGCCATTTTGTGAAAGTCTCAGATGACAAAGACAGGCAGCCCACTCCCACTGACACCTTCACCCAGGATGATCTTGAGAGAGGGTTGATTGCACTGGAAGTCCCACAAGCCAAAGACTCTGGGCAGCACTTGCAGAACAACAGCTTTGTGTTCGAGCTGGCAGCTGCAGGGGTGCCGCCTGCCTTGGAGTTGCTGAAGTACAGCTCTGAGCCCTTTGACTCCTCCAAGGTGTACAGGGCCACACTTCTCACTGCCACCCATTTCCCAGATACAAGCCTCTGGCCCACACTCCAGGAGACAAGCCCTTTCCCAGCAACCTCAGCCACTCAGGCTCAGGGCTTACCGCAACCAAGTCACAACACTAGCGAGCATGAGACACCTCCCACAGCCTGGCAAAGCCATGAGGCCACAACCAGCCCTTCCCCTGTGGAAGGGGGCACATTCCTCAGCTTCATCGAAGCCAACATGTTCAGTGTTATCATCCCAATCTGCCTCATCATCCTTCTTTTGGCTTTAATCCTCCCCCTGCTGTTTTATCTCCACAAGCGCAACAAGACTGGAAAGCACAATGTACAGGGCACGGCCGCCAAACCCAAGAATGGGGCTGTGGTTGACCAGGAGACCTTTAGGAAGACCGACCCAAACCAAGCCATTCCTTTAACGACTGTGAACACACTGGAGGCCAAGGGATCGGGACCCGTGACCAAAGGAGCAGGGGCAGGAGGGCAGCAGGACCCTGAGCTACTTCAGTACTGCCGGACTTCGAATCCCACCCTAAAAAATAATCAGTACTGGGTCTGAATGCTGGGCTGAAAGGCAAGACTCTTCCCTTCCAACCAGAACTCCCCAGCCTCCTCAACTGCTATGGAGTCCTCCTGCCCCTTGCTCCTCTTTGTCTCCTCTCATCATCCCTGACAGACAGGAGGCAGTATCCCTTTGACACAAGAGGACTTCTGGGGATATTGAATCTTCCTGATGCTTTCAGGGCCTCACTGGTACAAAAGCAAGGAATCTCCCTGAAGTGAACTCATACCCTGAAGTCTCAGCTCTCCCACCATCTTGGGGAGGAGGAGAGAAAAGTCTGGTGGGTAAATTAAGTATGAAATGCCATAGACAGAGAGGAGGAAGAGCTTGTGGGAATTCTATAAGTGTTTGACTGCCCAAATCGTTCTGGTGAGGTGATCTGGGAACTGAATAACTAACTGAGTTAAAAGATCCCAGGCCAGGTTGATCCCTGCACACCCCATCCAACCCAGCCCACTGCACACAACTCTCTCAGTGGGGAGATAGGATAAGACTTTCACCAGTGTGTTTTCCCAGCTCTGAAGCATGAAGTGGGATTTAAGAGCAAGTTGCACTAAGTAAGGATTGAAAGGAAGCTTTCTGAGTTCCCCAAGGCTAGGCTGGCTGAGGCACCAGAGCACAGAGTTGAAAAAAATCTTTTGCTGATGCCAAGGGAATCTGAAAGTGTCACTGCCCATTTGGAAAAATAATCTCCCCTTCTGAATATTTCTTGTGTGTCTCATAAGCCAAATTGCACAGTCTCCCTAGCCCTGTTGCGCAACAGGTAGAACGAATTTAACAGATTACAAAACTGGGGCATGTTTATAGTGAGGAAAGCCTATCACACGCTCCATAAAGGACATGTGTGGGTATGTGGGGTATATTTTATGAAACAAATAACATGTGTGGGGCCAAATCCTCACCTGGTGTAACCCAGTCTCACCCCATTGATTTATACCAACAGAGAACGGGGCCATGTACAACTACCCTGGGCTTGTTTCCACTCTTACCTACCACAGTGAAAGTTGGATGTAACCCCTCAGACATCAGTGAAGGGATGGGTATGTATAGGAGAGAAAAAACAGACCCATCACATATTTCCAGGAGGGCACCTCTCCTCCAACATGGGACATACACACAGAACAAAATGGTTTTTCCAAAATGGTTCACATAAATATATTGTCCGAAGCAAGCTTTCTGACAGGAGTGATGTCCTCTCCAGCTCATTTTTAAGCCATTGAGCAAACAGAACAATTTGGAAATAATGGTGCCAAACCTCAGGATCTTTCCCAGATCAAATATCTAGTACATTAAAAGGAAAGTTGCTGAAGAATGGGCAGAGGAAGACTTGAGTTGAGAGCTCAAGTCCTGACCAAACTATAATATTTTTCATTGCTACATCACCTCAAGGGCCAGATTCTGCTTCCATTTACAATGGTGGAAATATGGAACAATTCAATCAAAGCCAATGGGATTTTTCCAGATTTGTGCCATTCTAACTCAGAGTATAATTTGGCCCTAACTGACATTTACTTACATTGTTCTTTCCAAAACTAGCTGCCTGAGTGTAGGAGTTGGGGGATATCCTTGGGGTGTTTGGGTGGGTGGGGGTCTCTCTAACATCAGTGCAAACAGGGGAAATATTTTTGTGACTATGCTGAAGTTGCCTGACTGTATGTGGAGTGCCAAATGTTTAAAAGCGCAGCTACTAAAGTGCATATGTCTGACTCACAAAACCAGGAACTGCAGGGTGTACAAGCCCGTTTGTGGTGCCCAGATACCTGCATGCACACGTACATCAGACCTGCACACCTGTCAACATTTGTGTACTTGGAAATGCACATGCAATAGAACAGGTGCGCATGATGGGGAACGGGGTCCCATGTCTCTACAGTTGTAAATGCCTCATCTCTGAAACAGTTCCTGTGTCTTTAGGATACTATGAAGCAAGGCTGCAGAGTTGCTGAAAGCTGAATCCCATGCCAATGGGTGGAGCAGAGGCACAAAGAATTGTTTCACATCTTCCTCCTCCATTGCAGTTCTCAAGCTCACTTCATGTGTGACCCTAGACACGCAGCCTTCCAGAACAGGGGCTGACAGCCCTGACCTTAGCAAAGTACTGCAGACTTCTCCCACACAGCTCTGCCAATGCAAATCCCTTTGTGCCTGCCGTCGGTGTCAGACCTGTGTGCAGCTTTGCCAACACCTCTCACTTCTGTCCTGCAGCAACCCTCCCAATAAGCTCCAGGACTGAGGGGCCACACTCCTGTTCTTCCACTCCCAGGCCTCCCCACTGCCCTGCCTGTGGTCCCCCATACTGATCCACATCAGCCTCTGCCAGTCCACACAGCTGTGCCACCACACTGCAGCCCTTTGCCTCGTGGGAGCCACTACTGCATAGTGCAGTGGTGTCAAATGTATGACTCATTGGCCAGATCACTCCCACAGACACACATATCTGGCTTGTGAAGCTCCCACAGGAGCTGTGGATTTGGGCAGTGGGGGGGCTATAGATGAAGCATGATGTAAGAGCTGGGCATGGTTGTTATTCCTCTTCCCAAAATATCAGCATGAGTGTCCACCCCAAGCAGTAGGCTTCCTCACTGTTCACTGTCATTGAATCCCAGCAACACACTTTCTCCCTCTCCTCCCGAGTTTGCCTCAAATGGGAATTTTGTACCTTGCTACCCTGTAATAAAAGGATTCTGGTTACATTGCCTGAAAGAATGGCTGAGTCAGGGATGGAGGCCTCGAGTGGAGCTGGGAGCCAGTGAATAGTTCAAATAGCAGCAGCAGTGTTGGAGGTGGATTTCCTAGGGGCTTTTTGTTTTCTTTCCTTTACAGTTTGCTTCCCAACAACAGATTGGATAATTTATAATAAATCGACCGGTTTTGTAAAGAACATGGAAATAAACAAGATATTTTTAAAGCAGGTGGTCATGTGATCACTTCTCAGCAAGCAGGAAATGTTGAGCCCAGGTGCCCAGGACGCAGGCTGATGATCACCTCAGCTCCAGCTGTCAGTCCCACCTATGGAAAGCCAGAGTGGGACCACTGCCTGCGCTCAGGTTGCTCTGGTGCTGCACCTGTGAAACTGAGGGTGGAATCCAGCTCAGCGCATGCCCAGGCGTTGCCAAGTCTCCAGTCCTGCAGGCAATGCCCACACTGCAGCATTTCTTCTGCAAGTGACCCTCCAAGGGCTTTTCCAGGCCTGGCATCCTCATCCTGCCTTTGAGTTATCATTCACATGCTAGGTCAGACAAGCTGCTCAGCTGCTACAAATCTGCAGAGCTTCACTGCCGTCAGTGGGGATGTGCCAATTCCCACCAGCTCAGGATCTGCCTCAGGCTTCACAGCCTGCTGTTCCCTGGCCATGGAGCTGCACAGGTGTTCCTTTAGTGGGAAGAGCCAGGCTTCATCTGGAAACATTCTTGTGACCTTGGTCACTCATTTCCTCCCTGCCCTGAATGTGAAGGGAAAATAAGATACTAAGAGGAGAAATCCTGCCCAGCAAGTCTGAGTCTAGTCTCAAGTTGTTCATCATGGTTGCTTGTTTGGGCTCATTCACACACCCTTCCCATCTAGCTTATAGGTCTGACCAGCAGGGGTTTGCAATGGAGCTCTCAACCAACTTTTATGTAGCTTCCAAGCCTACCAGTAAAATGGGAGCCATTTCATTGTTTATGACCAGGTGCCAGGGATCCTTACCCTGGTTCTAGTGTTCACTCCAGTTGGCTTCCAGTATGCCTTCACTGAATTCAATCTGTCTTGAGCAACACCAGCCTTAGTAAAAAAAAAAAAAAATCATGACCTTTCTCAAGCAATTTAAGTCCAAAATGTCAATGTCCTACAGCATATGTATATATATTCTAGAGACAGCTTCCTTTAGTTTACCAGACTCAAGAGCAATGGACAGTAGGTCTGATTCTGTCCTGTACTGAGATCTGCTGGGTGGATAAGTGAGGGGGGCAGCAAGGGAACCTGCCCCAGCCCTGGCATGGGAGGACAGGACTGGAGGGGCCTCCTGGGCCATGACATCTAATCCTCTGTATTTGTGCTTTCCCTTCACTCAAGGATTTTCCAAAATCATTGCTTCAAACCCTTGCACAAAAAAATCCATTCTGGTATCTACAGGTGTGCAGCAAAGCCTTGATACCTGGGATTGCCAGCACCTGCCACAGCAAGAAAGTTTTCTCAGTACCCTGATATGGAGATGGCAGATAGTTGATACTACATATCCCACATGCTGGAACTCCCTCTCTGATCATATACCCCTTCCATACACTTATGCAGTACAATCTGAGAGCCATTCAGGAGGTTTTTGGCCCTTCATTCCTGGGCTCAGAAGACCATTCCAAGGCTCCTCTCCTCTGATAGATATCACCCTCTAACTTCCATTCTCATTGGCCACATCTTCACAAGACACTGACTGTGCAGTAGCGTCGCATGGCAAAAACTGTGATGCAACACTACTGTGCAGTAGTATTAAGCTACTGCACAGTAGCATCACAAAAAAGGCATTCATCAGCCCTACTATGTAGTAACTCGGGTTACTGCACAGTCACTTAGTTCTTGCTTATACAGGTACGAAATGACGGTGCAGTAACAACTGTGCAGTCAGCATCTTGTGTAAACACTGCCAGTGTGTTCATAACCCCTCTGTAGCCATTTGATCTGGTGCCAGTCTTGCTTTTTAGCCCAAAAGACTCTTCTCCCTCCCTAATATTCAACACAAATGTATTACTAAACAGTAATCATATTCTCTTCAGGGTGATTTAGAGAAGCTTAAAAGCTGTTCTAACTTACCTCTGCTGGTCACAATCCCCAGTAGATATTATGTCAAGGTGGGAGGGAAGTATCAGGAGCCAGTTGCACCCTTTTAGAGCTCCCCTATGCTGAGGGGGTTCTCAGGTGGTTATTTAGGGCCAGATTCTGCCCAATCAGCACAAAGCAGCCAGAACAGAGAGAGTATCTGGCCTGCCAAGCCCAACTTCTATAATAGCACGGTCTGCTGCTTTTATGCAGACTGGACCACCAGAGTTCACCACACCCCATCCTGCAAGCAGTCAGACACCTGTATGAGGAGCAGAGGCCACTGTGGAGTGAGCTGTCATCTCTCAAGACACCAGTGCAGCCACAACAGAGTTAAGCTTCCTGTTACTTAGCCCCACAGTTTCTGAGCAGTTTTTCCCAAGAAGCCAGCAAGGGGAGGAAATGCCCCGTTACACTTTAACTAGAGATGGAGCAAATACATCAGAAAGCTGCCAGTGCTTCTAATTATGGGAGCCCTCAGGCACCGCCCTCCTAGAACAGCACTCACCTGGCACCTGGCTGAGTGGGAAGATGGATTCCAACTTTGAACCAGCCATGGAAAACTCACCAAAGGGCAGCTGTTCTCTGTGGCCTGCTCTGTGCCGTACAAGCCTCTGTCATGTCACAAGCCCAGGGGGCAAGGCACATCATTTCCAGGGGAGATGGTTAAAATATTTTTAAAAACTCACATATTTTTCAAAACAACAATTTCCAAGCATGCATAGCTGGATCAACAGCCTGGTTAGATGTATACAGTGGAACCAACATGCAGGCCAGATACATATAGTTGCCCTGCACAGCTTTGAATAATATTCCCAGTTGTATATGCACCAGATGTGGAGTACTGTGTCCTCCAGATGTGCACATCTGTCTGCTGCCAACCTGCCCCACTACACATGCACCCATCTGAGAGAGCTTTAGAACCCAGCATGGGAGCTGGGAGAGCTTGTTTAGAAACCTCAGTGCTCCTGTATACAGCCAAGATGGTTTTTTCTTCTCCCCTATTTCCCTTTCTCTGCTGGGTTCCCCAAGTTACTGTGGGCTTCTTGGGGGAGTTGTGGCCAAGAGTGCAGAACAAGAAAGAGTAGTTTCATGAATGGCAAGGTTCCTCAGCATTTAACACCACTGTCACCACATAGAGACACAAGTGAGGGGACAGTCGCACTGGATTGTTCAGCATGCCCCAATGAGAAAGGTTTTATGGGTGGAGAGGTCCATTCCCAAACTAGTGGGGCCCAAGCTCACACCTCCCTGCAGTTTGGCTTTATTAACATCGAAATTAACAAGCCTTCTCATTAGGCATGCTTGCTCCTCAGGTTCCTCCCTTTGGACTACTCAGTCCACACCCTAGATCCTCTCTCACTAGAGAGCCACCCCCATCTACCTTTATGTCTGGATGAGGCAACAAGCCATCTGCCCCAGGGAGTAGTCATCATCACCTACAGTAGTTAATACTAGCAGGATCCACACCAGCTACCAGGGTGGGAGCTTTCAAGAAAACGCTACCTGCTTGTTACATGAGGCAGAAGCTGATTTGACTTCTACCCAGTCTAATTTTCAAAGAAAAGCTCCTGTTCATGCCTTGCATCAATGCAGAATCACCTACACCAGAGCTATCCAGCTTCAGAGCAGCTAGGGGCCATGTGGAGTCTCCCCAAGCTGCCCCCTCTACAGGCACACTGCAGGGGCCGCTCCCCAGGACTCCTCTCCTTCCCCCATGCTCCCCACATGAGCTGCACGGGCTTCTCCTCATGGGGTGCACTGACAACACATGCTTTCCTACCCCTGGCCATGCAGACTGCACCAACACACAGCCCTCAGGGATCCCCTCCCTATTGCACAGGAAGTACATAGCCCCTGCCCCCTGGCATGTGGGATTCACACAGGCCCTCCCCCACCACACAGAAAAGGGAGAAGCAACTGCTGGAGCCCAGGAGCCACCAGCTGGATAGCGTTGAGCTCCACCGAGGAGCACTGAGGGTCACCTGCACTAACACATATACAAACTTGCACTCATGCCTCTGCACAGGTGGCTCTGTCCAAGCGGGCAGAGAGAGAAGCACTTGCATGCCTACATGCAAAGTCATAGGTGCTAGGCACAGACAGACACATGGGCTTACAGATAAAGAGCCGTGAATGATTATTTTATTGCAGTGGCAACCAGAGGCCTCACCCCACATTACAGTACATTCTAAACAGCAAGGACAAATGAAGAGAAGGAAGGGAGACTGGCACAAAGACTGGCCCAAGGTCTCACAGCAGGTCAGTGGTAGAGCTGGAGGGACTCGCTCAGGTTTCCAGAC